AATCACATAACTAATAATCTTCTTATCTTCATAAATTTGTGGATACTTCACGACTGAGAGATTCATGTGATGACTCAAAAGAGTGTTGACGGTTTTAGTATCTTAAATTTTTAACCACTCTGCCACTTTCTTCAAGTAATAAAATTAAGATCATAATAATTCAATCCTTTTATGGTTTCTCATTATATCTATCCATATGATCCTCTTAGCATCACCAAAATATTTAATCTTAAATTCACCATTCAAAGTCTTCTTCATCTAACTGCTCTCTATTTTGCTAGAGCTTGACATCAAGATATCATAAACATATAAAAAAAGGTTGACAAATACTTTTTCATTCTTTTTCAATATGTATACATAACTACTATAACTAATTCTCACAAAAATATGTTTAAGAAAAATAATCAAACTGACGATATCAATGCCCTGGGCTTTGTTTCAACCTATACAAATGTCTCTTCAACAAACATACCTTAGATGTGTCCTCTACAAAACCCTCAGTTTTTCCATGTAGATTGTCTTTATAATGTCTCTATGTAAGAAAGTTCGTTTTATGTCTATTTTTTCAAACTCAAGATAAAATTGATTTATAATTTCCATATGTACTCTTATAGAACAATATTTTACCATGGGTGAAAATATATCATTGTAAGAAATCCTCTCCATCCGAGGAAATCTTTTTTCCACAAGTTTTGTCTTAAATATTAGTTATTCAATCCCTGGAATTCCTTCATTATTCTTGAAGATCCACTTGCATCTGACCACTCTTTGTTTATTAGGTAGTCTCACAATCTCTCAAGTATGGTTCTTCATTAAATACATTTCATCATTCAGAGTCTTCAACTATTTTTGACTATCTTTGCTTTTGAGTGCTTCCTTGAAAATATTTGATTTCGAGTTTTGGAACTCTTATCTACATTCAAAACATAAAGAATAAGGTCAATATAACAATGCCTTTAAAATGGTACAATCTCTCTCTCCTAACTGTATCATGAGCCAACAAATATTCTAGAGCAAATGTTGGTTGCCTCTCTCTAGTATTTTAAGAATGATCCCAACTTCCTTCTCATCTTTAGTCTCACTGGTAGAAACCTCCACCTTAAATTAAGTAGTTTCTAATTCGTTTACTTCTAGGTCTTTTCACTTCATTCTCATACGAGTCTCTTCAAATGTAACATCCTTGGTTGTGATAAGTTTTTATCATACATGGTCCATGCTCTACATCTTGTAACTCTTCACAACTTCAATTTAACCAATGAAGATATATTTCACAACCCTCGCATCAAACTTGTCTTGTTTAATATGTACAAACACGAAAGCTTCAAAATTCTTCAAATTAGAGTAGACTTCTGATTTTTTACTCCCAACCTCCATAGGCGTCTTGAAGTAAATTCTCATGGGTGGAGATATGTTAATCAGGTAAGATGTTTTAGCAACAAATTCACTCTATAAACTCTTTGGTAATCCAACTCACATCAACATGCACTTTACCCTATCTCATATGTTCATATCCATGCGTTTAGTAAAGTCATTTTGTCGAGGTGTGTCAACAACGATTCTATGCCTCTAATTACCGTATTTAATGTAAAGCTGATTTAACTACTTTGAAACGCATTCAAGGCCATTTCCATTCTAAACACATTTTATTTAGTTCCCAACTGATTTTCTATAAGAGTATGTCATTTCTTGAGTTATTCAAAAGTGTCACTTTTTTCTTCTTCAATATGTAAACTAATACCATTCTAAAGAAATCATCAATAATAGTGACAAAATAGAAACAAACCCCATGAGTTTTCACCTTTTCTGAACCCAATATCTTAGGAAACATACTGAAATGATATGTTAAATGTATGAACACTACTCCTAAACTTGATTATGTGTTGTTTCTCTAATATGCAATGATCATAATATTCCAATTTAATCAATTTCTCACGTTCTAGTGAATCTTGTTTCACTTGTTCAACCAAACCTCTTTTACTAACATGCTCTAATCTCAAATAATAGTGAAACCATTTATAATTGATAATCCACACATATTGACCCTTTAGCCATGATAAATGCATTATGCAAAACTTTTAACACCTTGTGTTCAATTTTTGTACAATAGCCTGATCACCAAACATACTTATAGACAACAAGTTTTCTTTAAGCTTTGGACCATACCTCGCATTTTGTAGAAGAAACTCACAATAATCAAATAATTTAAATCTAGTTATGCCAATACGAAGAACATTGTCGATCTACTCCATAATTTTTCAACTCTAGAGTCTCAAAGTATTCTTTCCTTAAACACGTGTGAACGTAGCATCACTAGTACATGAGCACTCTTATAGTCATCCTCATTAGAGAAAACCACAATCAGAACGAAATTACCTTTACCTCCTCTCTTGGAACAATCCTTCTTGAAGAGACTACTTTTGTAATAAATGAAACATTTTAACTCCGATTTATTAAAACCTTTAAACTTGTACTTAGACTTGCAAACATCAATGTCTCATCATTCAATATTTTAGCACACTTTTGTTAAAAATTGTCTACATCTTTATTTTTATACAACTCAAAGTCATTGTCTTCAAAAAAAAAAAAAAACTTCTTAATGTCTTATTTGAAACTCCTTAGGTATAAACTTAATTCATTCTTTGATTTTCTATATATTATTTCTAAATAAATAAAACAATTAATTTATAAAAAATAAAATATGTATTTAAGTGGAGATATATACATCTCAGAATTGAATTCTCTCCCATTTTTTCTCTCATGTCCTCTCTCATGTGTAATTTTGAACCATTGATTTAATTCAACCATTAAAAATATGAAAGAGAAAACATCACATTTAAATATGAGAGAAATGCATATCTATTTTTATTTTCATTTATTTTTATCATTTTTATAGTATTTATTTGTATTATTATTTTTATATTTTATTATTATATCAATCATTTGATTGAAATTAAAAATAACAACAATTTAATTTTAAAAAATTATTATACACATCAACACAATAACATAATAATATTTTAGTTAAAAATTATTGAACATAAAAATAACAACACTTTAGTAAAATTTATATATATTTTTTAAATTGTAATGAGTTTTTGAGAAGGAAAAAAATTATTTAACATAAAAATAACAACATTTTAGTTAAAATTAAATCTTTTTAACATAATAATAAAATTTTAGTAAAATGTATATATATTTTTTAAATTGTAATGAGTTTTTTTGAGATGAAAAAAATTATTTAAATTTTTAGAATTGATTTTCCGTTAAAATTTATTTTTTATTGTAATAAAACCATCCGTTTATGTAATCTTTTCAATATATTTTCAAAAATTATTTAAAAAATTATTGTTAAAATTTCAAAAAATAAAAATAATAAATATCAAATTTCTTGTTATGTATTAAGTCTTGAGTTTTTTATATATCTATAAGAGTTATTTTAAAATTAACTAATATAAATTTTAAACAAATATTATTATTTAATTAGTATAAAAATAATTTAAAAATAATTGATTTTTTTATATAAACAATTAGATTATATTAAATAAATAAAAAAGTTGAGGCCCTACATGATGGTCTTGGTTGTCTACTTCTAAGACTCGATCTATACACTGGTGCATTTTAAATTACCGATAACTACACACGGTTGGAATAAGATGGTCTTCGAATATGACACCATGTTTAATAATAACGATTGACGGATTTTTATGATGACAACGGCATGATTTTTTTTAGATTGAATTTGTTAAATAAAATATATAATTTTTTATTAATCATTTAACTATGATGGTCGTTCATGACAACAAGAACATAATACTAATATGAGATTTTACATTTTTTTTATAATAATAAAAATATGTTTTACATTTTATGAAGTTTTTAATTTTTTATTTACGTTGGAGTATTATTTTAATCTTCTTTAATTAATTTTAAAATATATTTTTAATTAATTTTAAAATATTTGTAATTAATGTGATTTAACTGCGATAACAATATTATAAAAAAAAATCACAAAAATTAAAGAAAAAATTGACAATTTTCAACATAATTCTCATTTTTATTTCTTGAAAGTTTGATTAAAAAAGAAAAATAATTTTTTTTCTCTTCTTCTTTAAATGTTATGTTTTTTCTTTCATATGTTTTAATTGTTAAATTAATTTAATTAGAATGTGTATAATATTTTTTCTTTAATTAAATTGTTGTTATTTTCAATTTCAATTAAATGATTAATATAATAATAAACATAAAAATAATAATATAAATAAATACTATACAAATAATAAAAATAAATATACATTTCTCACTCACCTTTAAATATTATGTTTTTTTTTTATATTTTTAATAATTAGATTAAATTCATAATTTAAAATTGTACATGAGAGAAAACATGAGATAAAATTTTTAAAAGGATCCAATTCCATACATCTCCTAAAGTAAAGTTTGCAGTAATGAGATGAACCATTGAATTTAATAGTAATAAATAACATATACCTTTGATCATGACAAGAAAATGTAAACCACATATATAGCTAGACATACCTACTACTATTCTGCCACATAAGACAACGGGACCCACGTGTCACGTGAACAACGGCTCCATTGCCACGTAAGAAGCAAACAATTACGTTTGGTGCTTCTCACGTAGAATCTCTCCTAATCTTCTCTCCACCAATCCCCATTTCTCTCCCACGTGCTACATTGGGCCCCACTTCATATGCCTCACAATATTCTAATATTAACTCATCTGCCACTTTATCTTAAATCTTTTTTTATACAATCTCTCACTGTAACCACTTTTGTTTACCATTTCTTTATAATTATTATTATTATTATCTTACAACAGCTATACCTTATGCCGAACCACCTTCCTTGTAAACCCAACCATTTCATTTTCTTTTCTTCTTCTTGTTCTCTCTTTGTCGCTCATCTTTTCTTGTCCTTTCTCTCATTTTTTCCCTATATATCTTCCACTTTTTCTTTTTTTCTTCATATAATCATAGATCATGGAAGACTCTCCTGCTGCTTATATCCACCTGGTGAGTCTTAATTTTTTTCTTCAATATTTTTCCTATTTCTTATCATTATATATAATTTTTTGAATATATATAGGTGCACCGTTTGATAGAAGAGTGTATCTTATTCAACATGAACCAAGAAGAATGCATGGAAGCTCTTTCCAAACATGCAAATATCAAACCAGTTATCACCTCTACCGGTAATTAAACTTACAAACTCTTATATATATATATATATATATATATATATATATATATATATATATATATATATATATATATATATATATACACACTACACAACAAAACAATTAGGCGGTATGGTATATGTTAACATGTGCAAATTTTTAATACTAAAAATGTCCATAGTGTCATCAATGTTATGTTCTCTTATATTGTTTTATATATAATCTAGACTATTGAACATGTAAATTAATGATGAATGTGCATGTAGTTTGGAAAGAGCTAGAGAAAGAGAATAAGGAGTTCTTTGAGGGATACTTGAAGAACAGAGAAAAGAGAGCTTCGGAGACAGAGACGAGGCAAAGGATACAAAACATGGTTTTGGATTCTTCTAAATAATAAGTTTAGACGATTTGATACGCAAATTAATAAGGTTAGTTTAGGTGTTTTCAATTAAGTGAAGTTTGAAGAAGCTAGTTGTCTATGTATAATAATAATATATACATGATTAATTAACATCACAATCATGTAATAGTGAAAACCGTGAGAGGGACAAAATAATAATGGACCAAGGAACAACATAGTCATATCATTGTATGGGCGGCATAGATGGTTTCATTTGATTTGTCTCAAGGTATACAAAGTTGAAGTTAACACTCTACAGTGATGACTATGTGCGACATGGCATACATGTGTAATAGTACTTAATAAAATTTTGAAACATGTGTGTTAGACTATGTGTACATGTAAATAAAGTTAGTTTTTAAATTTTTTTTATCACGAGTACAACTTCTGCAACTTGTATTATTTCATTCTATGTAAAAACAAGTTGTTTAGGATATTAATAAAAATTAGTTAAATATTCTTCATGATTAAAGATAATATGAGATTGCCAAGATGGAAACTCCCAAGCTTATCTCACTTGTTGTATTTGACGGCGACTGTTTACTTTACAACGATGAGGACGGCGTCACATCTTTTTTCCTCTAAGTGATCTAGTGCTTCTTTAATGGTTTGCGTTGTATTCTCTTCTGATAAAGGATGTGTCTTCCTCTAATTTAGTTCTCATATTTTGATCTGGATGACAATTTTGATTTTATAAGTAAGTTGGAAAAAGCTTTTGCCAATTGTTAATGAGGTGTTCTCTAGTATACCTAGAGAACATATGTGGGAGTTTATCTATCCAATTTTCTTAGACGTTTTTGAGTCTTTTCTTCAATTTTTTCGGTTGAACCTTTATTGACAATTTCCACTTGCCTGTTTGTCTGCGAGCATTTTACCGATGTAAAATAATACTTAACCCTTACGTCTTTCTATAATCTATGTTGTGAAATGATATTTATCAATAATAGAATAAAGTTGTTGTGAAATGATATTTATCAATAATAGAATAAAGTTATGAAAAAATTGAGTTTCTTGAATAAATACAAAAAACTTTAATAAGTTTTACAAAAAAAAAAAATAGAGAATTGGTTAAATCTGTTTTATTATTCGATTTTTTAATAAGAATTCAAAAATTACAAGTGAATACCAATAATTGAACTCTCTCAACAACCTAAGAGAACTAGTCTATTTATAGACTACTAGACTAACTTAGATTACAAGTTAACTTAATAATTGAGCTTACAAGTAAGACTCAATTCGACATGCTAATAATTCTAACATTTCAACTACTGCATGCTTGAGCATACTTCGACTATAGCATACAAGATCAGTATGTGAACAGACTTCGATTTCATATTAAACCTTCAGTCGAACAATGAAGTTACTCTTTTCAACATTAGAGTTCGAGTCAAAATACCACAAATCTCTACTTTGGAACAAACTCTACACAAAACAAAGGAACAAACTAGCTTTTATCATGCAGCTTTATCAACTGCATATAGTGGAAATTGCTACTCGACATTATCTTGGTGATCATATCAGCAACATTGTCACCAGTCGAAACCATCAGCACTTGGACTTCTTCACGCTCAATTATCTCTTTGACGAAGTGCATCCTCACATTGATCTGCTTGATTCACTCATGATAGGCAAAATTCTTCGACAGGTGTATTGCATTTTGACTATCACATTTAACAATGATAACTCGACCTTGAAGTTTCGGCTCTTTAGCAAAACTTTCAAGCCACAATGCTTCTTTCACAACTTCAGTGAGGACAAATATTATGCTACAGTAGTTGATAAGACAACAACCTTCTGAAGTGTCGCTTTCCAACTAATTGTTGTGTTGAACATATTGAACACATATTCAGAAATAGATTTTATGAAATTCATACAACCTGTATAATCAGAGTCGATAAATCCTTCAATTTCGACTTTGCTATCATCACCACAGGCTCCACCATAAATCAGGACTATTCTTAGAGACCCGTTGATGTACCTAAGTATCCACTTTAATGCTTGTCAATGTGCCTTCCAAGAATTGGTCATATACCTGTTTACAATGCTCACTCCATACGCTATGTCTGGTCTCGTACAGACCATATCATACATCAAAGAACCTATTATACTAGCATATGAGATGTTATTTGTATAGGCTCTTCCGACTTCAGTACTAGGACTTTGAGTCGTACTCAGTTTATACTAAGAATTAGTCAGTGTTAGAACATGCTTTGAATTCGACATACCAAACTTGTTGAGAATCTTCTTCAGGTATGTCTCTTGAGATAAATAATTTTGATTGCTTTCTATCTCTCTGGATGTCAATCCCAAGAATTTTGAAGGTAGCTCCCAAATCCTTTATGTCGAAATCCTTATCGAGTTCAGCCTTTACCTTCATAACATCTTCGACATTGTTGCTTTCTATGAGGATGTCATCCACATAAAGCAACAAAGTAACAAATGAATTTCTAGGTCGAAATCTGAATTAAACACAGTGGTCGAACTGGCTCCTAGTGAAACCAATGTATGCCATGAATTTGTCGAATCTTCTATTTCATTGTTGAGGAGATTGTTTCAGGCCATACAAAGACCTATTCAGTTTGCACTCATAATCTTCCTTTCCCTTTTTTACATATCCTTCAGGTTGCCTCATCAGGATCGTTTCATATAGATCACCATACAGGAAGGTTGTCTTCACATCCATTTTTTCAAATTATAGGTCGGATTTCGCCACCATGGCTAACATTCTAATGGATCTATGCTTTACAACAGGCGAGAATACATCATTGAATTTGACACCTTCTTTTTGAGTGAACCCCCTAGCAACCAGCCTTGCCTTAAAGCGCTTCGACATCACTCCCTCGATTCCTCCCTTAACTAAAAAATTCACTTACATTTGACTAACCTAGCTACTGCAAGTTTCTCAATCAGCTCCTAAGTGTTATTATCATGAAGATATTTTATCTCATCATCCATGACTTTCATCCATTTAGTCTTGTCTCGACTCCTCATAACTTCCTTATAATGTCTAAGTTCATATTCAAGGACCTCATTTATAGAAATTAAGGCACAAGCTATGAGATCTGCATAACCAAGTCTTTAAGGCGGTTTGATGAATCTCCTCGACCTGTCTCTTGCTAGTAGGTAGTCATTATAAGTCTTCTCATCTTTGACAACAGCTTCTCCTTCTTCTTTGACTTCATCTGGTTCATGCAATTCAGTATCACTATCCTCCACCTCAAAAAGAATCTCTCCTGTTACATATCTTCTTCAGAAATCTTCAAACTTTGACCAATGTCATCAATTTTCTTGAAAGCCATTTCAGCTTCATTAAAAACTACATCTCAACTTGTGATACACCTCCTATGACCTAGCTCTAGGCACCACAACCAATAAGTTTTAACTCCTTAAGGGTATCCAAAGAACATACATTTTAGAGCTCTAGGCTCGACCTTGTCTTGCCTAATGTGAGCATAGGCTAAACAACGAAATACTCTAAGTTTGTCGACACTAGGTGGATATTTCGACCAAACTTCTTCAGGTGTCTTCATTCTTAAGGCAATCAAGGGACACCTATTTATCAGATAAGCTGCAGTCACAACAACTTTTGCCCAAAACACCTTTTTCAATTCTGCATTTACCAACATGTACCTCACCCTTTCTAGAATGGTTTAATTGAACCTTTCAGTCAAACCATTTTGTTGGGGAGTCCTTGCAGTAGTTATATTTCTTGCAATATTAGACGCATCATAATAGTTGTCGAACACTTTTCCCAGTTGTTAATGAGGTGTGGTCTAGTGTACTTAGAGAACATATGTGGGAGTTTATTTGTCCAATTTTCTTAGACGTCTTTGAGTCTCTTCTTCAATTCTCTTAGTAGAACCCCTATTGAAAATTTCCACTTGCCTGTTTGTCTGAGAGTATTTTACCGGCGTGAAATAATGCTTGATCCTTAAGTCTTAAAATTGTCCTGGCAGATTGTGAGATTTCATACCTCGCTAAGATTTTTTTTAAGAACTTTTGTATATTTCCAGTAGTAATTTTTGCCAAGGCTTTCAGCTTTATCCACATAGTAAAATAATCTACTACAATAATTAGGAATTTCAATTTTCCATAAGCTAGAGGGAAAAAATTGAGAATGTCAATGCCCAACTACGAGAAAGGAAAGGGTGACACCAACAAATTTAAATTAGATGGTGGAGAAATATCGACGTCTCTATGCTTTTGGAAGCGTTCACACTTCAATATCTTGGACTTTAGATGCCCAATAGACCCATCCTTGAGGACTTTCTTGGCTAAAACACTGGCTTCAAAATGTTTCCCAAATATCCTCTCATGCATATCGATAATGGTGTATGTGGCTTCCTCCCCTTCGAGATATTTCAGGCGGTGGCGACAAGCCTCTTCTATATACGATCCTTCTAAAATATATTATGAACCGACTATTCTCTTTCCCAATCTAGATTCGACAGGATTGATATGTAGTATGTTGTGTTCAATATACGCCATGATGGGTGATATTGAATTTATGCTAGGTTAGGCTAAAGCTTTAGTTCGTTGTAACTATCAGATTGATAATTGTCAATGTCAACTATTTGTTTTATAAAATGCAAACAATTTCCATAGTTGTAACTAAATGAAATTTACTTACAACTGAAATGAATTTCAGGAATATTGTGAGGCATCTTTTGTAATTTCTATTATCACTTTGAAATCTTCGATGCATGAGATGCGTAGGATTTCTTGTATAAAAGTGTCATTTATACACGAGGTCTCAATTCTTACAATCTTAGACAAGACATCGTACTCAATGTTATGCTCCTTGGGAATATGCAGGATTTCATGTGATTTTTTTTTACCAAAGGATTTCATGTGATTTAAACCTCGCCAATTTCTGTCTTGTTAGGGATATGTATCGTTGTAACAATGGATCTTTGATTTTCACTTCCCCTTTGACATATGATAATACTAGTTGTAAATCAGTCTACGACTTAACATTTTTTGCCCCTATCTCG